CGATTATGTCGTAACTCCTATAATTATTTGAATTCGATACTATTCTACAATAAAGAAAATAATTATAGGATATTATTCAATCGATTATTAATGATTTATAATAATGTATATTGACATATTCTTTTGATATGATATAATATCAATAGAATTGCAATGAAATATAAACGATTCTTTTTTTTTGTACGAGAAGAAAAAAATTGACATCTCGCCACTTCCTTCTCATTGAAGTTAAAGCTGTTAAAAAATTTTTTTGATTAATATTATTAATATATACTTTTTCTTTTTCCTTGCTAATGACCTTGTTCTATGATTGTCACATATAGTTTTTATCCTTGAACATTTATTTTATATTCATCGGCGACAAATTGTAACACCTGCTTAACATTTATGTAAATAAATTCTTACAATTTTCATCCTTTCTTTTTTCAAGTGAGAACATTTTATTTAACAACTTCTCATCCTCTTGTATATATCACTCCTATTTGTCTCAACAGATTTCTAATTATCACAGCAGGGGATATAGTCTTACAGCTGCGTTATATAAATTAGAATTGATCACCTGTATTATATGACAATAAAAGTGAAAGAAATAATATCAACATCTACGAACAAAAAGGTAGATCGAGAGCAAATGTGAAGTATTTTTGTTTCTGTAGTGACTGAAACGAACTTTTGACCTTCTCTAATGTTGGAATTCATTTTTCTTTTGCTTTCATTCTTAATTGTTTCAAACACGCACAACACAAAAATTGATGAATGTATATAACTGAAAACAGAACGAAAAGAAAAGAGAGATGGTGTGTAGTACATACATTTTTGACATTGATGCTGTATGTATACATAGATTTATTTTATAAGAAGTATAAAGAAAAGAAATCATTCATAATTTAAGTATTAAAAATCACTATCAACATCTTCTTTTTCTCAACAGACATGTTTAATCCTAGAATATGTGTACACGTATTGTATATTCTAGATTATTGCATCATTACATCTCATACAAAACTACTCACAACGTGTTATAATTAACAAAAAAAAACTCAGCATGAAATGTTCGTTACTTGAACAGACACGTCTTGTATGTATGAATTCATATACATAAGAATTTCAATTGAAAAAAAATCATTATCAATAACAACAACAGCAGCAGCAAGTAGAATCATAAAAAAAAAGAATCGTACGATTACCTTATTTATCCAATTGATAAATGACATCAGGTAAGAGTAACATAAAACATTACAATGAGTAAATCTTTATTCTTAGTTTCTTTTCTTTTTTTATCGAATAGTTATGAAATAAAATCTAGTAAATTGCGTGTCGGCTTAGCTTACAAAAGAAGGTCATTTGTCTTTCTTTTTTTTTCTTCTGTTAATTGGAAAGAAAAAAGAAGAAGATTGAACTTCAGTGAAATTTAAAAGTATGCGATAACATTTTTTTTTCTTTCTCTCTCTCTCTTAAGATAAGCATTGAATGACTAGACAGACCATTGGTATTATAAACGTTATTTGTTAGTTTAGGTTTCTTTTTTTTTGACCAGCTTTATCCCAATTGTATATCTGTATTTTCAAGGTCGCACCTTTAATGTGTTATTCTTCGTTTTGTCCGTCTGTATGTTTAATTTGTTCGTCAAACAATACAACTCCTATGTATCTTATACGAAACGAATTGACCTTTTCTTCATTCTTGCTTATATATTCGATATAGAGGGAAAAAGAAACAAAATATGAATACTAGATGTTCACTCCTGAGATTAGATGATGATGATGACAATGCTATTTCATTATTTGTGTCATTGAAAGGTAAACTTCGATCGACTAGTCAGAGTCAATGTTTGATTATAAATATTATTTTTCTTCTCCTTTTAATATCATTAGTTATTATATGTATAAGTAAGCATTCGTTTTTAGTTATTCAATAAAAACGATTGAGTGACAAGTAAGCTTTTTTAATATTCTGAATTAATATTGAATGTAACCTTGATTTCCTGCATAAATCTTTTTTCTTTCAAGTAGATTCTTGACTTTTTTCATCATTGATTAGTAAATAGATGGAGAAAAATAATTATTTATGAATAGGCATATTATAAAAAAAATATTCGTATGTCTGTCCTTTTTTTTTTTATATTCACTTTCTCTTTATACACAAAAGATAAAAGACATAGAAGCGATTATAAATGTTCAAGGTAGAATAATATTTAGCTAGTTTATTCATCTAAACATCTTAACGACACGTCTGTATGAATTAATCGAACGAGAGATTTTTGAGCTGATATAGATATCTTTCGCTAATAATTGAAGTTCTAAGCTTTTCTTCTTTCTTAATTTCAAATGAGTATATGTATGTATAAAACAGCCTGAAGGCTATAAATGTCGTATGATTTTTCACACAAGATAAATGTGTAATCTATTTTGATTTTTCTAGTGAATAGAATGCACACACAAAATGAATCCGATGGTCATCTTGTACGTTCAGGTACAATTATACGTGAAAGTGTACGATGTTTACCAAAAGGACATTTTCAACAAATTCGACAAATGTTTGATAAACAATCATGTTCGAAAAAACCGCTATCAACAATTTATGAACGACATCAATCAAAACAACAACAATCTGCTTCACCCTATAATGTACTTAAATTACCTGTAACTGATGATGAAAAATTACAACATACAACAAATATTGATGATATTATTATTGAAAACGATAAATCATTTGAAGAAAATTATCTATCCGATTATCCATTATTTCATTCTGAATTTGTAAATAAATCATTTCAACATTCGTTATCTAAACCAATTGAAAATCATTTATCTACAGGTAAAAAAACATTTATTTTAAAAAACAAATGCAATCATCTGATTGAATGTCAGAGACATGTTTTATCTCGTTTCATAAATCATCAGGGATCAATACGAAAAAAGAAAATAAAAATTGTAAAAAAAAAGAGAAAACAACAAGACAAAAGAGATATAGAAGGTCGACATTTTTTTTCCTATCGATTTTATACGAAATTCGAGTCGTTAGATTCATCATGATGAATATCGAAATAAAAAAGTCGAAGAAAGATGGAGAAGAATAAACATTCGAATGTTTCGAGATAATAGAGAATCGAAAAGAAGAAGAAGAAGAATGGCAAAGGCCATGAGTCCAATCTGGTTGGTAAGCAACATTGATACTTCATTAGTCATTCTTCCACCTACACATATTTCAACTCATCCTTCTCGTTTATTCTTTTTTTTCTTGTCGAGTTTTTATTCAGTAACACATACATGTAAGCAAGTCATAAAATTCTATTTCATATTTTAGACACACATTCATCTACAACATCACTACCACAACAATTTCTATTTCCAATCGATTCTGAAAAGTCTGTATTGACGTCTAAACAACGTCGTCAATTAGCAATGGCTGCCGCTGTTAATTATCCTGATAGTTTTGAATCTTCACCAAGGCCAAATCAATTCAATCGTATAGGTAGTACACGTCAATATGTTTCAAGTTTACAACGTACATTAACTGTTCATGCTAAACCAGTTCTTGTTAAAACTACATTTAATCCAATAAAACAAACTCCATCGATAATATACGATTCTACTAATGAATTATTTCCATCATCAAAACGTCTTCAATCATCAGCATCTCTGTCGTCAACTGGTTATGATTCTAATTCTTCACCTTCAATGCTATCAAAACGACACTCTCTAATAACAAGTCATAGTAATGATCTTTCAACATCAAGTGATGAACGACAACGATTAAATCCTTGGGTATAAATAAAATATTAGTTTCGATTTCATTTTCAATCTTTTTTTTTCTAGATATTATATGAATCTGAATTAGGTACTCCTATAACTATAGCTAATTCATATTCAA